TGTTGTCGGGGCAGGGGTTTGGTGCCTACAGCCATACCATCCTGAGAACGGCCAATCTCGTCTGATCTCGGAAGCTAAGCAGGGTCGGGCCTGTTTAGTACTTGGATGGGAGACCGCCTGGGAATACTGGGTGTTGTAGGCTTTTGCTGTTGGCTTGGGATCCTTTCAGGGTGCCCATGGTGGCCTTAATTTTTGGGGGGGAGTTTGTTGAGGGGGCAGGGAGTTGTTTTGGGGTTTTTTGGTGGGTGTTGTCAAGGGTCAGTTTGGTGGGTGCTGTATGCTTTTTCTTTCCTCTGTGTTCTAAGTTTTTTTATTTCACTGTTTATTGAAGTTCCTTTTTTTTTTTTTTCTTCCCCATTCCATGTTTTTTGTGATCATTTTCCTGTGCACATGCTTTTTCAAGAGTCATTGGCAGTAACCTACTTTTTGGAGTTGTCTGTGTAATTTGGCAAGCTAGTGGCAGTGTTGCTTGGTTTTATGGTGTAACTTTTTTCAGGGCACCGCGCTGCTTTTGTCTTTCTCACGCCACAGCCACCCCACAGCCTTTTCCTGCATCGCCTGTACTGTGGGGGCTGCTGCCATGGCAGCATGCACTAGGCGAAGAGGCCATCGGTGTCTTCGAGAGGCCGTACCATGCTCTGGAATGCCCACTGCAGGATCCCATCCCAGGCGCCCTGCGGGACAGCCCCAGGGGGTCACTCTGCCGTTCCATCCCACTCCCTGCTCCCCTGTGCTGTCCCAGCTCTCCATGCCTTGCCCATGGCTTGACGTCACCCAGTGGGTCACATCAGAGATGTGGTCCCCTGTGGATTGACTCTGCCTGTTGGTGTCCCCCTGAGTGCCTTACCTCACCCAGGAGCGCATCAAGCTCATCCCTGCTTAGCATGGGGTCGCCGCCGGGGGAGCCATCCTCTGCCTGCGGGAGCAGACATGTCCTGCCAGCTTTCCTGCCTGCCCTCTGCCTGCACCCCTTTGGGTCAGGGCTGGTGACCAGGTTCAACCCCTCACCTGCTGCAGCCTGAGCTCATGGCCCCTCCAGCACAGCTTCACTGCCTCACCTCCAGCTACAGTCAGCCCATCCCTTACCCAGCCTGAGCCATCGCTCTTCATCATGCCCTTCGTACCCAGTACTGCCACCTCACCCAGCCTGTTTCCCTCCACTGGGGCTGGGCACTGGTTGTACTGACCTTCGCTGCCTGTAGCAGGTGGTCGCCAGTCATTGCAGTGCTCTCCAGGCTGCCTGTGTCCAAGGTGCCCATGCAGGATGTGCAGAGCAGCAGTCCCCTACAATCGATGGGGGGTGACACAGACCATCAGGGCAGCCCCCCTCCAGGGAGAGGGATTTAAGGCCAGGATGTGGGGGATGGTGGGGGGCTCACCTCGGGTCCCCGCTGGCCGTGGGGCAGTGTCGGGATGTGGGGATTCGGGTTAAGCAGCGGCCGCAGACGCTCCTGTCACCTCCACCCCGCCGGGTGCCGCATGCCTCCTCCCCTGGGATCTCGGGGGGTCGTTCCGCAGCCACATCTGCCTCCCCCAGCTGGCCTGGCTCAGCTGCACTTGCCACACAGGAGCCACACTGCCACGTCCCGCTGCACAGCACAAGTGGGGTGGTGAGGGACAGCCAGGGGCCACTAGGGTCCCCATGGCACCCCAGGGCTCACCTGGGGACACGGGGCAGCGGGGGCACCAGGCACGCAAGGTGGAAGGCCCTGGGGCAGCCGTCGCAGCAGATGAGCTCGCCACCGTCACCGCACGCTGCGCACTCGTCCTCGTTCTCCTGCCCCGGGGGAGTGGGCAGGGGGTCACTGCCACCACCACCCTGGGTGGCGCCGGCGGACAGTCTGCACCCATGGCTGTGGCAGGGCTTGTGCTGGCAGGGGACCCCCGCCCCATCCCACATCACCCACCCCGCACCGCACCCATCTACCCCCACATCACCCACCCCGCACCAAACACACCAACCCCTTTCAGGCCTGGTGACCCTCATCAGCTGAGCCCCAGGTTGCCTGTGCTCAGCCAGACCAAAGGGGCATGCCAGGGACACCCCAACAGCCCCCAGCTCACCAGGTGACTCTCAGGGTGCTGACATGCTGGGGCTCACCTGGTGGGGGGTGAGGTCCTGGGTGTGAATGGCAGGCGCTGGCAGCCGGCCCTGGGGGTGCAGTCGGGGCTCCCCGCTCTGCAGGTGAGACATGAAAGGGGTTTGGGGGAGCTGCTGGGACAGCCTGGTGCAGTGGGATGCCCCCAGGCCATGGCCATGCTGCCAGGCAGGGACAATCCCCCACTGCAGCCTCAGGCAGCTGCAAAGGAGGGGTGAAAGCAGGTGCTGGGGGGTGCAGCATACACTTTGGGATGCCTTGGGCCGGGTGGGTGGCTTCAGGCTGCGGCTTCTGCTCCTGACCCCTGGCTCCTCGCAGATGGCCGGGGCATATGGCTCGTCCCCAGCTTTGCTGCCCATCTTGGAGCTGCCTGCAAGAGAGGCCAAGAGCCACTCCAGTGGGGCCCCCTCCCCACCACCCCCCTGCCTGGGGGTGGCTTCTGAATTTGGGAGCTAAACTGGGCAGGAGGTCAGCTGGACTGGGCTGCACCTACCTGGCTCCAACACGTGTTTGATAAGGATGCCTTCGACGGCCCCGCGAGTGATAGGCACCTCACTGCCCGCCACGGCCACTGCTCTCTGCACCGAGGCGGCCACTGCCTGCAGGGCTGCAGGCAGGGGGGCGGCTCAGCAGGGCGGGCAGCCGCCCCTGCCCTCAACTGCAGGCAAACAGGGTGCACAGGCAGACACTGCCCCAGGGGGGGTTCGGCACTCACCGCTGGCACGAGGGGTGCGGGGGACATCCATGCCCTCTGGCTTCTTCACAGTCCTTGCCTTTGCCAGGGGCCCTGTGGGGTTGTGAGGGTGGGCATCGGGGGGGACAGCACCCCACTGCACCTCAGGGACACCTCCAGCGCCCCACCCCATTTCCATCCCACTCTGGGTCTCTGTACCGGGGCTGGCGGTGTGCCGCGGGGAGGGCTGCGCCACTCGAGCCCCATCCCGGTCCTCGGGGGCTTTCCTCTTGCCTTGGGGTCTGTGCAGGGCTGGCGTTGTGGGGCTGGGGGAGAGGCGCCTGCCACGGCGCTGCCGGCCCAGCTCCACCTCTGCAAAGGGGACAGGGAGAGGGACAGGCACAACTGGCCCCAGGCGTCACCCCTGCCCTCTGGCAGCCCCCTGGGGTGCCAGTCCCCCCGGTCCGTCCCCCTCCTACCTCTGGGGAAGGCACCGCGGAGGGGCCGGAGCCGGGTGTACCGCTCCAGGTTGTAGTCCTTGAAGAGGACAGCCCAGAAGTCACGGACGGCAGCAGCATCGCGGCCCAGCAGCCAGGTGAGCAGCGCGTGGAAAGCACGGTGGGAGCCCTCCCGCTCTGTCCGGCTCAGCGTCTCCTGCCAGTGCCACCGTGGCCCATCGGCACACATCCCGGTGCCGCCAGCCAGCCCCAGTCCCTGCGGCACGGACATCATCTCCCACCCCATGACCTCACCTTGAAGACATGCTCGGGGACAACATCATGGTCAGCCAGGCCATGCAGCAGCGGGAAGACGTCGTCCACTGCCATGGCGATCTCAGTGCGGTGCAGCTTCAGCAGGTGCCGCAGGTCTCCCTCACTCCCCAGTCCCGCCATGCTGCGGGGACACTGCCAGGGCTGAGCAGCCCGCCCCGACGCTCCCCTTTAATAAGCCCCAGCCGCCAACAGTGGGAACCTCGTCACGATCCTGCGGCCCCACTCATTTCTGTACGAGGCTGCGTAACCTGAGATCACCCCTCCCGCCACTGGCTGGGCCCCCCGGCTGGCGTGGGGGTGCCCCC